TTTTTTTCGTTTCAAGCAAATAAAAACTTGATCATTAATATTTTTCAACTATGAATCAGAGAACGTCATACGACAGATGGCACATGACTGTTATAATATATATCTATGAATGTATTGAGTAGAAAACCAGTTTTTTTTTCTAGTTGCGCATATCCTATTAATTAGTAATTTGATCATCATAACTAACAAAGAGCATCAGCAGGTGATGAACTTTAGCTGCACCTTCTGTATATACAAGCCCTTTTCTTGTTTGTTATTCGATTGCTGAATTTGCTTTGATAGTGCCCGTGATAGTAATACAAGCAACAAGTAATAATATTGAAAGAATGCTAACTGATTACACAAGCAATAAAAAAGAAATGTAGCTAACGAAAGATAAATAAGCATACATCATAGATTGATCGATAAGTTCATTAGGAAAACTAATATTTCTAGTCAGGTGTATTATGCACACATGATTATATCATTGAAATGATAAGATTGATTTCTTTTTTTTTTTCCTTGTAGGTTGGCCTATTCTCGTTGTTATCTGTGTATCAGTTGGTTTTGCTAGTATACTTGTTCTTTATCTTGTTGTCCGTATGCGTTCTGGTACTAGACAACCTAGTCCATTAACGGGTACAGGCGATGATATACATTCCCAAATGGAATGGGAAGATGATATTGGACTTAATATCATTGTCAATCCATTGGATACAACAAAAGTTAGTTGATTTATTTTTATCTTATGTTATAATTTATCTACTTTTTCTTTTCTTCTTCTCTATAGAAACCCGTCCAATCAGTGAATGTTCATAATATAAAAGAGACAATACATCAATATGAAGGTACAAGTTCTGATGAAGATGAATATGATGAGCATAGTCATAATGAATATTCATCTGATGAAGATGATGATGATGATGATGATGATAATAATCAAATACATCAGAAAAAGAATGATCATCAATTAGAATGGGATGATGAAGCTATGGAATACGGACCAAAAAAAGTTTAATGATATATAAAAGTAATAATAAAATAAAAAACAAAAAAAAACAAAAAAAAAAATTTTAATGTTGTGTGTGATCTTTCGTTGTATGTTCGTTTATTCTGTTGTTAATTACAGAATTGAATGGGTGTTGAAGAAACGAATGTGATTTTTTAGAAAGAAAACAAAATATGAAAGATTAATATTTACAATTCTGTTGCTGGCCACCGGTTTTATTTGTCGTGTGTATCTTTCTTTTTCTTCTTGATCAGTATTCCCAGATGTACAGAGTTTCCATTGAATGTTGTTTTATTCTGTATTCATTTTGGTTTTTTTTCTGTTCTTGTTCTTCTTCTTTCTATTTATTTATTTGAATTATTAATGGTAAAAGGTAAAAGTTTATATGAATGGGTTGAAATGATTAATCAATAAATAGAAAGAAAAATAAAGATTTATAATTATTTTAAAAGTAAAAGTAATTCAAAATGACAACTAGTTAATTATCTATGATGAATATTGATCTAGATGTCTAAAGAATAGCATACATACATATAATTATTAGATCACAACAACACATAAGTTATCTTTTTATTTTAAAAAGGCTAGACAAAAGTATGTCTAGAATTTACTTTTATAATGATGATATAGATGTTTCTCATTAATAGACATGGTTCATGTTTCAATTTGATAAACATATTTGAGCTAACAACGGTCTGTCATTATAAAGTGTTTTACACTCATTAAATGCTTAAAAATAAAATTTTTGTGAATAATTGAATGCGATCAATGAAAATTAATTTTTTTTCTATTTTGCCCTCAATTAAATAATAGTTTCAGTTAAAACTTTATCAACAAAAAAAAAAAGAACAAATTAAAATTATTTTATTTTAGTATGTAATGATGGACTAATCAAGTAAAACTTCATTCATTTGAAAGAATTTTTTTTTAATTTGAAACAGTACTTATGAAAGCCAACAACAACAAGTCATAATGATCCATCAATGTGCATACAATAGAGTTGACTAAAGACATGTGTAAATTAAATCGGATGAAAAGAAGTTTCAAGCATTTTTTTTTTCTTACTTTTCATTTGAGACAACTCATCAAAAGAAATTAGCTCCTAAAAGATTATGTTGTATTATTTATTTGACAAAACCGTTGAATATTTTTTTCAGAAAACATCAATCTTATATAAATAATTGTTTTTTAGCTATTTATAAATCGAATAAGTAAAACAAATATCACTTATCTTATCATAAATACAAAATTTGTATACAATAGCATTGATAAAAACATTTTCTAAGTGTTTTTTTTAGCAAAAGATTATTTGAACATTCATCATTAGTTAAAGGTTAGTCATACTCAGCAACCCGATTTTCTTAAGAATTCTACTCAAACTAGACTATAATTATTGTTGATTATATATTTTTGAATAGTATTTGTAATTATTAGGTATTCCAATCATATATTGCATGCTCGTATGAATCTTGTTTTATTTCGTTTTATGATTTTTCATTTGTTATTATTGTGTGTTCTTTTTTATCACAAAGAAATTTAAAGAGATAATCATATTACCTTTGTTTTTTAAACGTCATACAAAGATGTTTTTATAGTATGTGATATTTTACCGAAATTTTCATAGAAACATATATAGGCAAACTTTTTTCTTAATGGAAATTCTACAAGACTGTTGATTCTAATATATATTTGTTTGATGACACTTGATCCCTAATTATATGTAATCTTCTCTCTTTTGTGTCTTTATTTAGATATGACATATTATGATGGTGCATTTTCTACTATAGATTTGATTTAATAATATAAGGTACCATAAACATATAATTCAAATGAATGTTTTTTCTCATTCATATATACGTATATAACTTGATAGAGTTTGATGAGTTGATCACGAATATACAGCTCTCATGTCGATTCGATCACTATATCCTTGAGAAAAAACTGGAATAACTGAAAATATAGCATTAGCAATTGTAGACGCGCCATTTTTTTCTACAGAAGTTGTCAAATTTCAATTACGTTATTTTTTTAAAAATTTTATGAAAATATTGTATTCTGATACAGCGTCGCAAACTGAGTAGACAAATGTTATTTGATTAGATTTAGAGATAATAAGATTACAGAAACCTTATCTAATATAAATCCTAGCACGTTATTGTTGGTATTTTTGTAAATCTATCTAGGTTTTTATAACAAGAGATAGAAGCAAGTGTCTTATTTCATTAGAGTAGTCAGATCGTGAACTACGAAAGTACTTATTTAGTTTTTTGTAGATTCTGTTTTATTGGTGACAATAACTGAGTTTTTTCTCCTTTTGATGACGAAGTCAGATAAAAGAATGAAACAGTGCACTCGTATGAAAACCGTTTTCTATTGTCATGATTCAGTTAAGAGCAGATTGGACAGTATATTCGGAATCAGCATCGAAAATCACATCGAATTATATATGTTTTGAATAAGGAGGCGTATTGTTAAATTACGGACGAAATATTCTAAAGACTTATAGCTTAATTTTATCCGACCGAAAATCAGCATTGAACGTTGCTTATTTCTCACAACTATATTCTGTGTTTTAATATAATTCAATTTGTCAACCCTGGAGTTCATCTCAGGTACCAGACAACCTTTTTTTATCGTCGTTTTATTAGAAGTCTTTATGGTTGGATAGCGCTACGGGTGCTGATTACGAATAAAGCATTCTAATAATAAGAAAGATCGGAAGTACTCTTTGAAAGACTCAAAAAAAAAAACAGTTTTTGATCCAAACATACATTAAAATCCGATTTAGATTCGTGGAAAATAGGTCTACTGGATGCAGAATTTCTTTTGCTATCAAAATCTATAAGAACGTTTTAGAGTCCGATAGCGAAAACTACTCCGCATCCAATGAACCTATGTTCCATGAACCTAAATCGGATTTTAATGCATGTTTAGGTCAAAGACTGTTGTTTAAGGCTTGCATTGAGTGTTTCAGATCTTTCTTATTATGTGAATGTGTTTTAAAAAATTTAATATTTGTAATCACCACACTTTAGCGTTATCGAAGCGTAAAGATTTCTAAATAAAATGATGATAAAAATTTTTTTGATACCTGAAAAGGACCCAGAATTGAACAATGGAATTGTGATAAAATACAAAATATGGTCGTGAGAAACAAGCAAGTTTTAATGTTGATTTTCAGGCTAATAAAATTAGATTCAGATTCTTTGGGACGTACTTTGACACGCCTGCTTTGTTATACATTTTGTCTCAATGTATATGAAGGATTTGATTAATGCATGTTTCACTTATGTGAGTATGTTGAAAATTAAAGATGTTTAAAAGTTCATGAAATGATCTAGTTTTTATTCTCTGAGGATAACATTTATTTATTAAATTTTACGCATCGAAACGATATTCAAATTCAAAGATTTGACTTCATAGAAATATTCATTGTTTATCAAGTAACTCTTATGTCATACGTCTATGAATCGTAAACAACTTTCTTCTGCTTAAGGAAATAGCAACTAAATCATTTGAAGATTTCAAATAAACTAATTTCATGAAATCTCTATCCATGTAAAGATCTTAAGTCGACAAATTCGAAAATTTATTTATATTATGAATATTCAATAAATTGGACTGTTATACTGACCGATATATTAATAGTTAGATAAGTGATAAATATAGTATAGATAAGAGAATCATTATATGATGTTTTTTTATTGTTTAATATTGCTGAGAGAACTAACATTGTTTCAATCAACAGATAATTTTATGCTCAAAGATATTTCTTCATTAATTAGCTTTTTCTTTTTTTTCTTTTTGTTGAAGAATAATTTGTTTTCAAATTTCTTAAACAAGATATTTTGCTATAGATTTATGTTTTCCACATAATTTTTCATGTAATAGAAACTGATATGAGTCAGTTATTAATGGAAAATGAGTGATAATCAATTAGCTAAAATATGTTTTTATTTTAATAATTAAATCAACTTCTAAGCTATTGCCAGTAAAACAATTAAGAAAGATACTATGATGCATCTGCTTGACGTTTCATGATAAATTCATCATCTTCCCATTTTCCGACCGGATATTTAAATTCACCGACTTTATTGAAACCATAGTATGTATAAAACTTTTGTGCTTTCAAATTATTAGAGCACACGGTAAGCCAAATAGGTCGTTTCGGGTAATGTTCATTCAACCAGGATAATACAACATTCATTAATTGTTGACCAAAACCATGATTTTGCTGATCACGTTGGACATATAACTGATTGAGTTGTCCATCTTGATCGGAACAAACATCAGGATGAGGAATATTATTGCAAAGACCAGCAATAGCATAAGCGACAATTTGACCATTTGTTTTATCTTGTATTACCCAAACAGCTCGTTTTGAATCAGTTATTGTCTTAGCAAAAAATTCTGAACTAGCTGATGAACGAAAATAAGTATCAAGATCACTTTCAGGATAAGGAATAGATAAATCCTCTATAAATGTTTCTCGGAAAGTTTTTTGAGCAAGTTGAGATAGTGTATTAATGTCAGAAATAGCAGCACGACGAAGAAAATATTGATCATCCATTTATTATGACTATCTTGAAGGTCTAAAAAAGAACAAAAGAACTTGTAATCAGCTTATAAATATGCCATCATTCGCTGATTTCAATACTGTAATCATCATAATTTCAATGTATTAGAAAGAGAAAAACTCTCTCTTAAATATATACTTAAATAATGGGAGACTTCTATGATAACGAAAGAATAATAATTTCAATTTTTAGCACACTTTGTTAAATTGATAAACGAACTTTTCTCGAATAGTGAAACAAATATCAATATGGAATAAAATTGTTTCTATGTAAGATGCACGCAAATCGAAAGATAACTAAGCTTTTTTGTTCGTTTACTACACATTATTCGACAGAGCTTGAGCTGCTCATTAGAACAAACCAAAGTTTCACTTTGCGTGAATAGAGTTTTTCGGTCGGAAAACATTCAAAGACTGGAAAGAAATCCTTTTTGAAGAAAAGAAAACATCATTTTCATTTTTGGTTTTCTTGTTGTTGCTTCAACAGCTAAGTTTTTAAAATTCAGTGTTAAAAAGTGAATACAGATATTTGATGAAATTGAATATTAATCGAATATTCTGCTGATGATGACTACTCACTCAAAGTAGTGTTTTGGGACGTACCGAGATCAAGAGGCTCGGTCTCGATCAAAATTATTATTTTTGTAGTTTTTCGAGCGCAACTAACCGAGAGCAAAATCGAGACCAAGACCGAAAATAGCTGAAATTCTGTCTACAATTTTCGATTTTGTCCATCAAAGTAAGCTTTAAGGGTTCCCCCCATTTATCCTTCAAAACATCAAAGTTCGTCAGAAAAAGAAAATCTTAAGTTAAATGCATAGTCGAATGCTTTGAAGTGCGCACGTGAAGAATTAATATGATTTTGTGGAATCGTTTCTCTAAAAAGAAAAGAAACAACCATTTTTCGTCAAAAAAAAACTCAGTTTTTGAGAGCAAGAGTTGTTCATAGAAGTTAGAATGTATGTTATACAGATCAGATGATTGTTAATAAATGGATCATTATGAGAAATGTCTTGTACTATTTTAATTCTTCACAAATGTTTTGTCCAAGTTAGTATAGGTATTATGGGAAAACTCATTTGACAAATATTGCCAAAAATATCAAATAGTCTATACCACGAAGATCATTTCTAATAGTTAAAACGCTATATGCCTATGTGTAACGATGAAGGTTAGGATTGCCTAATATTTTGTCCTTACGATGCACTTTACTCTCACTCTAAGTTTTGTCCTGATCCTCTGGTATTATATTTTACACCGTTATATTGTGATATTTGCTTAGTTTTGATACCTGTGTATGTAAAGTGTAGAAACATTTGTATGCAGGTACGATTTATGATATGAAGAAGCGAAATAAAGTGTAATTCCATCTTCACTAACCCTTCTTCTATCTAAAAACCGTCGCACTATGTTTATATCAGTTAAGATTGTATTACTCTGCAGAAAATGTGTTCAAAACTTGTTTCATGTTTTCTGCAAGCGCGAATTCAACGACGTATTTCTAACAGCATTCTTTTACATTATGAAATAGTGTCAAATATGGTTTTTTGTTTGGAAGGTGACGTTTAGAGCTGGTAATTCTCGTGACCTTTTTTTCGAGAAAAATTTTTGATAAAGAAAAGACGTTCTTCTTCTATCAAAACATGATAATATAGACAAAACAAACTAGTTCTCGATAAATTTAACTTAGCCTGATTACAACATGAAGATTATTGACAATGTCAAATAGACTAGTGAACTACAGCAAATGTCGATTGCAATTTTAGTAAAGTAAGCAGTGAGAGCATATTTTTAGGGAGTCGACTGTGATGAGAACACATGAGTATGCCGCTCGAGGAAAACACCCTTTCAACTAGAGCAGAGGTAGTCGGTGCACAAAATACTCTTGTAGTAAGCTGGTGCAAGTATGAATAAGAAGATGATTTATTGAAGTCACCATCTTGCTCAGTCTACGATGACAATTGATTATAGGATTGTTTTGCCATAGAAAAGTTTGTTCATTCAACTTTCAGTTGAATAAGAAATTCTTTCTGTTCTGTCATCGCTTACTCGTCATACATTTCATAATATTGAATTTTCTTTCTTCATCGACATCGTGTTCTTATATTTTCAAACTAACAATAGCGCAGTCAAATAAGCTGTAGAACAATTGACTAAATGAACGGTTATAGTCATTGTCTCAAGCATTGCCATTGGTTAAAATGTAACAATGGCATATTCACTGCAATGAATAGTTGATGGCGAACTTCTGCCTCACTAATTCTTCCGTCTGTGTTTACAGAAGAATACAGTGAAAAATGAACGCATGGTCGAAGCTGTCCATCTCTGATCTCAAGATTAAAAGAGAAAGACAATTCAAAAAAAAAATAGCCACGAGACTTATCAGTCCCAAGTGTCTTCTGTAAAATAAAAAACATAGAATAGACTTTTTCAATTGTGATGGTTGAATGTCGTTGGAGATCCGAGAAGACTCTATAAAAAAGGGTGCTATGTATAGACCAAAATTGTTATAACTACAACAAATGAAACTTTCACGAAAAAAGAGATGACGACGAAATATTTGGAAACACATCAATTAACTCTGGTTGCTATGCTAAACACGATAATGATACTCTTATCACATAAACGCTTACTTTTGGCAACGACAATTGAACAATAAGGGCCGAAGTCTAATTCTTTGGTCTGAAATTCAATAAACATGGTCTTCCTCTACAAAAATAAAAGAAACAAAAAGCGATACACACCTTTGTAGCTGTAAGTTGGATGTATTCAGTGAGATAAAATGTTTGCCCTTTTCATGACTATGATAAGCTACATACACCAAGTCGTCATCGCATAATACGCACACAGCTCTTGGTGTCCAAAGTAAACGAAGAAAGGGCGCAAAACAATAATGAATTATGTAGGCTTCTATAATTTTTTCTCTCAATGAAATTTTAACAGCGTAATTGGGCATGACTAAATTCTAATGAATTATTTTAGAATACGATTAATAAAATGAAAAAATTGCATATTGATGTCAAATATTCTATACTCCAACATGGACATCATCAAAAAGTATGCACTTTGTCTATATACAAGCACAAAAAAGAGTGATCTTACCATATAGGTGAAGTTTAGCAGCCAATATTCGAATAATTTCAGTAGCAGCTAATCTAGAATGTATTCCAAGACTCCTTCTCCGTGCTCCAAATCTCATTTCACCATCCTCGAATGGAACGGCGACAATAGATTTTTTTTTATAGTCCAAACTGTTGATGCGAAAATTTCTCTATGATGTTATGATTCTGTTTCAGTCAATTTTATTTCATTGTATCACTAAAAGATACATTCTGAAAGTTTTCCTAAAAAATATTCTTGCATTGAATAGTATCTAGATCTTTCAACGACCAGTAGTGCATGAGCTACGAATAATGATTTTGGTTACTAAGATGAAAATATCGCATCATTTTTTCGGCATTATTTTAGATATTAACATACAAAAAACGAGTGCTGCTATTGAGATACTCTGTCCATAGTACGAGACATTTTTTAGTTATATTACTTTCGAATAAGTTCATAGTCTTGTCATGAACATAATTTCTACAAGAAACTCTCACGAAATAGTTGCTATATACGTTCTTCTACTTCTCCTTAGCTATGAACTGAGCTATAGTGAAACTGATTATGCTACTCTATAGAGCTCTTCAAATTGCAATTCTAACACAGAAAAAGGACTCGGAAGCGCATTCGTAGACCATTTGACACTGAAACTATTCTACTGGTTTCATATTCAATATGGTAAAAAACTAGTATTTTGCAATTTGTGAAAGGATGGTACCCGATATTGAGTGTGGCTATGAGCCTTCTATTAAGCCATATTCAAAGCCCATTTATGAGATTTTTATTCGATTTGAAATTTTATATTATACAAAAGAAAATATGAATGAATAGATTTTTTCATGTGGATTAGTTTTAATTACGATCCGGTTTGCAGTAAAATATGAGATTTAGCTCTTTATATTACTGCCAGTGTTTGTTTCTTTTTATCAAATTCTTAAATTGATAGAAGAATTTCTATATGAAACATTTTCAATTTAGTGCTTAGATCAAGAAGTAATGTCATCTTTATGTTGTTATGATACTTCTAGAAACATTTATTTATCTATATGAATATTTGATTCATTATTGAAATTGAATTCTTTGTTGTAAGTTCAACATCCAATATAATAATTGCCAGATAAGAGTTTTCCTTGAAGAATAAATTACGAATGGATTCAATTCAAATATTGCCATCATTTAATTACATTTTTTTCGGATACACCTTTAGATGGATAGGTTTCAAGACAATCGTGTGTCGATTATTCCAAGGCTAATTCAATCTTAATGAACATCAAAAATAATTTTATATAGAGTGAAATATAATAGTATCAAAATAGAATAAGTATAATGAAATTTTCAATCATATTAAATTCTTATCAATCTCTGTTAGATATAATCAAATGATGACGGACAACATTATACAGATGGTTATACAGCTGAGGTTTCATGGAAGATATTAACTAAATCAACAGATATTTAGTTACGATCATCAAGAACGCAACTGAATTCAGACGATAACCAGAACCCATTCATCAAAAACATGTTTTCAGTAAATAAGAACATATGATATATTTTGCTTTCTATTTTTATTGAAGTATTTCTGTTTTGATGTAAAAGCAAGAGCAAGGAAAAATCTTTTCTAGCTATTTCTCATTGATTCATTCGAAAACTGAAGAAAACTCAAAAGTAAATTCAACTGGTAGTAACAGCAAATGTTTGACAACGCTGACTATCATTGACAGCACAATCAATTCTGTATTGGCCACGACAGCAATTATTATTAGTATGTATTTACTCATTCGTGTAACAACAACAACAACGTTAACTAACATAACACGTAAAAATCATCTAATACTCAAAAAAATTTTTATTTAGTATACAAAATATCATTTTACACATATAATTTATATATAACTCTCTGTTATACTATAGACAGATTAGTTATCAATTCTTTTTCGATATGAAGATGAGTATAAATATAAAGCCATTTTCCCAGAGTCCTGTCTTGTAGATATTAAAAAGAATCTTCTTTGCTATGGAAAATATTAGCTCTCTTTTCTTGTGTTGGTGTTCAATTCTAGAATTTCTATTGTAATAAGTTGCGAATATGATATCTTTTTGATAGTGTTTTCTACGTATTTACGCATTCCAGATATTGTAGAACAATATGCATAGAGTTATATTATCTTTTCTGCATAATGAGCGATAATTAGTTCTCAGCATGAGTTCCAATATAGGATATATATATACATATGAATACTAAAAATATTAACTTAAAAGGAGAGTAGAGAAATGCAAACATGTATCAATTATATTGGTTTCTAATAATAATTGTGCTGTGTATTGTTTACATTAGATTCTAACTACTCTATTCAACATAAGTCGTATCTCTATTATAACAGTCATCGTTAATGTATAGAAATGTATCTTTTAAAAAATATTGTATTACAAAAGAAACAGATTTTCTAATATTATCATATTTTTCGGCAAGAAAAATATCTGATGTATCATCCAATAGTAAAATATAATTCATACAATGGTGTGATATTTATATTTATCGATAATAGTTTGATAAAAAGAGAAAAAAATACTAATATTGTTTTTTATTTATATTATTCGACAATGTTATAGATCTATAAAAAGAAATCACAGACGATGAATGAAATCTGCTTTCACAAACAATAATATTTAAAAAAAACCTAATAGTCAACAGACAAAAATGATGGATATTTATCCATCTGTTGCCTATTGAATCATTATATGAGCACATATAAATATGCATGAAGAATATGAAATAAAATAATACGATCTCATTTTATAAACAAAATATTTATTGGAACAAATTTCAAGCAAGAAATAACTACCATGAAAATTTTAGTATTCATATTCATCGTATTTATAATAACACCATTGGATGCAGGTTGTTGTAAAAAGCGCATAAGTCCATGTCCAAATGGCGAAACTCCACTTGAAGGTTATTTTTGTGGTCGTGGCCCTACGCGACAAGATTGTCCATCAACTCATGAATGTATTATTGCACCCGATGATTCTTATGCTGTTTGTTGTCCTCTTTCTCAAACAGTTACACCAACAACTACGTAATCAATTAAAAGAAAAGCAGCTTCATATCCAACATCATCGAATGTCATAGATACTTGTATTGTTCAATGTAATTATGACAGTGATTATGAAGAAAATCTCAAATGTTTTGGTAGCTGCTCTCGTGAATGTGTTCAACCTATTTTATTAAAATATATCAATATCATTTTATGTTATTCTATATCTTATTGAATATTTGAACAAAATAAATGAAAATATAAAGATTTTAATTAGATATTTTTCTTTTGGTAAATAATGAGTGATAATTTTAACAAGTATAGAAATATACAGAACATAGTAGATGTTTTTATTGAACCTCATTATATCAGAAACTCAAACATCAGTTCAATATCCATACACGACATATGACATATGAGTAGTATTGTGGATGTTCTTGAAAGATTTTAAAATTGAGTGTTCTTGTATTAAACAAAAGCAAATTCTTTAAAACTTTGGCAGCTTATCATCACTAATTAATACTAAATAATTACAAACTTCCAGATCTATAGCTTTCACTATAGATGAGAATCTGTAACACAACAAAACTCATGTACTATATAGTTTTTACAATATTTCTTATCGTCTTGGATAGTATTTTTACAAATAATACAATTTTTCGAAATAAAAGACATGCTTATCAAATAAACAATGTTCGTTTATTTGATTATCATCATGATCGATTACTAATTATAATCGTATTCGTATATTTGTCTATTATTCATTGTTTTTCATTTATTCAATACTATTGTATTCCGATTCTCGTAATTTATCTTTCAGATATTTCCTATCAATTACACATCAGCTAGTTTTGTAGCACAATTTTCGATTCACTTTGATTAATAAAACATGTTTGATGACTTTAAGAGCTACACACTTACTTTATTTAGAATTTTGAAAAATATGCATTTCGTAAACCACATACTAATTATACATTTAGCTGGCCTTGTTTCTATTATTAACCTGTATATTTCTTGTATCGATACTCGAAGGAAACATTTTTGATTTTCGGCACGTATTACTATTGAAAACTTAATAAAATAATACATGAAAGTGTTCTTACAGATACTCATTCATAGTAAAAGCTGTAAATCTTATAGCTTGTAGTTATTTCATACTAAGTAATCACAATTATCCAATTCGAGTTTCAAACAAGAGCAATGAATTTTAAAATCATTCCAGCACTTCTGAGATACTCATTAAAAGAAAATTTACTTTTATCAAACAGAAAATTCTACTATGCAAAATAATTTTTTTGTATAATTAATTAAAACAAAAGTATTTCTGTCTAAGTAGAAGAATTCCTATAATGATGAATTTCTATCAATATAACAATTTTTTCGGTTTAAAATGATATTCAAAAGAAACTAATATCATTAAAACATGTTTCGTATGCAAAACATGGTAGTAACGATTTGAAAATAACAGCGATAACAAAAGAACAAATTCAAAAAAAAAAGCATTGTATCTCATTTTCATAGATTATTCCTTTATAAAACTTCTTTTTTTTTTCTATTATAGATTATCAACAATTTAATGTTGAACTGTCAATTTGAATTTGTAAATAAATTCATTCATTGTAAAATATTTTAGAAATTCATGTTTAATATAATTAAACAAAAAGAAAAAAAGAATTGTTTTTCACTTCAAACTATTATCTTATAATATTCTATTAATTTATAGAGAACTGTTTTTCATTTTCTATGCATTTATTATCTCTTTGCAAGAATTCGATTGATCTCAATCATTGTCGAGCTCTGCATCCTAATATAGTACTAAATGAGATGCGCATTATCTATGAAAGCATCAATGATGAGACATCCCTTTTATCTCTTCCAAAATACGTTAAAACATATATCTGAATTACCGAGTGGACTTTTATCTTATTCTCTCTTATATTTTCAATGAGTATGCATGTAACAAAAAAAGACTAAAAGAAAAAAGAAATTTCTTGTTGTATGCAGACGAATTTTTCATCGTTCATATGAGAAATACAGAAAAGATCTTTATATGTAATTATATATATATAAATAAATCAGATAAAAAGAATGTTTATAAAAAAAAAACAAAGAGAAAATAAAAAGTATTCAACTTTAGTTTCCATTTGACAGCGATCGAACAGTTTCTGATAGTCATTCATTTTCTTGGCAGACTCTTATTTCTTTTTGTCGTGCATTTATAAAATGCCTTTTAAAGTCAACATAGACTTCTAGCTTTTATTCGTGACACGAAAGAAAAATTGTCATTTCTGACTGACACTAATTGGCTATTGTTTATTTGATAAGAAAATGCCACATATACATCACTAGAAAAATATATTATAGTCTTTTTTTGACTGTTTTCCCCACTAATAACTACTTTTCAACAATACAAATTATGTCAGAAACATTTATTAAGAATATCGAAAAGTAAACATAAACAAAATAGAATTTAAACATACTTTGTTTTTCTTTCGTTATTTCTATGTGTTAATCAATTTAATATTATTTAATTGATTTCGAAAATTTTATATTTGATATTCACGTATACAAACATAAAAACAGTGAATGATCGAATCAACTGTTTACAATTGTATGTCAATAGCAAATAGCAAAAGTACTAGTCTACAGGAGGTGTTTGCGTCTAAGTTAACTCAATATATGCTTCTGCTACATACAAAGGACGAGGAGAAAAAAAAAGGAAAAAAAAAGCTCTTAAAGCGTATATACATGTTTTCATTTTTTTTTTACAAGCATAGTGAAAAACACAACGGAAATTTGTAGTTGCCACAAGTCTAATATGGAGTCGAAGAGCACGACTTCAACTCTATTTCTTCCTACGCTCTCATCATTAGTAGTTGCCATATCTCCATACATTTACTCTTATCCTTTATAAGCATAAATTGAGCGAGTAACTATCCAGCGAAAAAAAAAGAAGAAAAAAACGAAGCTCAGTAAGACAGAATTGAAAGGAAAAAGAAAGGAAGTGTAAGTCGTTACTAATTTAATTGTTTTTATGCTCACATATATAAATCTATTCGATTGAATATGACACAGTAATATCGACCAACTTACCTTATCAATATGACACTTTCTTTAGATGGAAGTTTGATCTTTTACTTAAAAATTTATTTTAATGATTACTCGTCGTCGACAAGATTTAACTAGTTTAAGTTTTTGTTCGACATGTACGACAGCTACAACTAGTAATGTACGATGGAGTGATGTTTCATCAGGTTCATCATTTATTCCGACACTATTATCATTTCAAAGACCAATAATAAAATCTGCTCATCGTTGTATAATTTCATCAATTCCACCATCATGGTCGCCTATTTCACCAAATTTACAAAAATCTACTACTCTTCGTGAATTTTGTTTACCACGACAAGAACCTCAATCACCAGTTGATATATTCAATCGATCATCATTATATTCATGCTCACCATCTTTAGTTAAATTTAGTCGAACGCGTGCTAAAGAACGTTCATCAATATCAACAAGTACAACAACACTTCCATCAACAATTAATACAGGTATTTTGCTACATCCAACAACGACTTATCTGACTGTTAATGGATCTAAAACACATCATCATCATCGTCATCATCACTGTCGTCATACACGGTAAATTTGTTAGATTATGTGTAATTATTTATCAAAGAGAAATATAATCCAATTTTGATTGTTCTACTTTTGATAATTATAATCATAAGTTCAATTTTCTTCAAATATCTGAATATGTTCAGGTTTTTTCTTGTATCATTGAAAAATTAGTAATATGAAGTTCTATATGTATTGATTAAAGAAATACTTGATAGATCTCTTTGAAAAGAAATGAAATATTTAATTACAACAGAAAATTTTGTAAAAGTTTCAATATTTTAAAATTTTTTCGATTCAATTGAATTGGCAAGTAAATTTAATTAATCGTAAACATTCTAATTAGTTTTAATTGAAATTGTTAGTCATGTAGTGAAATTTGTTCAAAAGTCTAGAAAAAATATTTAATTGATGATAATGACTATTCTCTATTTTGTCTCATAGAGTTATTCATGAAAACAACATGTTTCATTTAAATAGAGATGATCAATATTAGTTGTATAATTTATCCGCATTTTCATAGGCATACACTATTGATGGTCTATGAGAGGAATGTTTCTGAAACGCCATACATAGTAATTTACAACTCTTAGGAAGTCGTGTAAAAATTAGTTTTTGAGAATACTATCTTAACAAGCACAAATTTTTGAATAGAATAAAGAATCGTCACATTTCCTATGATCTTCACTTGAAAAGTTATAAGCATTATTAAAAAAACTAAAAGAATTTGTGCTATGATAAATTTCGCTAATTTCTTATTTTTTTGTGATGCTCATCAATGTTTAAGGAAAGATCGTACAAAAAATACGACTACTGTTCATTTTATTCAGAATTTTGTGTTTTTTAAGATGATACCCTTAAAAACTAATTTTCATTTAGTCTACTTGGACTTAGAAACTGCCATATTTGATTTTCAGAAACCTTGCTCTCAGAATTTATCTACGGAATTTTGACATGAAATGCATTTGACACGTAAATTCATTGGTTATTCAAACTATTATTTATATTTGAGGTGAATACTTAGTATTGTAGAAAAAAAACCTCTTGAGTCCTATATTTTTTTGATCAGCATTGTAGAATGTGTCTAGACAGTCTCTTGACAAAAAATAATTTGAATGTTACCATTCTATTTTGACTCAATAGGCTGACATCTTTACTACTGACATAAGAATATTCATAGAAGTAATATTGTCAAAAATTGTTTTGAAGTATTAACAAATGACTTTATCAAAGAACTGTAACCTTTGACAAGTCATGAAAACAACGATATATTTATTTGCTTAGTCAAAATTAAGCAATGCCTCATTTTTTCAATTAATTCTCTATTATAGTGTCTCTTTGGCCGTATATTTATATTATAGATATATATCTGATTATTCAATGTATCCAGAATATTTTCAACTATAAACAATAAGACATTGTTGACAAAACTATCATATTGTTTTCTGATAATTCGGCAAAGGTTACAGTTCTTGGTAAAAATCATATGTTAATTTTTCAAGACAATTTTTGACAACATTTTTCCTATTAATATTTCTCTGTCAGTAATAAAAAATATTAGTCTATTCAATAAACAAAAAATATAACGATAACATTCAAATTTTTCTTTCCTCCAAAACTTGCTGACAACCATTCTATACTCCATATTATCTAATATATCGTTATCAATATATCTATACTGATAACTCTTATACAACTAAAAATGGTAATTCTATTTTTATCATTATATGATGTATTTGAATATATCTTAGTAAACATGAAAGCTATAATTTTTTTCTTTTTTTTATAATTATCTAACAAATGAACTACTCTATAGTTAAGTGGAAACAACAGCTGAAGTGCTTGCATTGTATGAATAGCTTAGAATGTCATGCTATTTTCTATTATGAATATTCATTGAATCACAAAGCATTTTTTTCTTCTTTCTACAAGTCTGAGCCTGGAGATGTTAACAAGTACTTCAGAAATGTATTTAAAGATCAAAATTCAAAAATTTTTGTCAAATAATGTGTCCATCTATTAGAAAACTTTTTTTTTAATTGTTAATATAAAATTGTTTTGTTTTGTATGACAATCGTACATACGATATGAATGAAACATTATCAGTAAATATAGATAAGTATGTATGTATGCATTGCTTTTTAATCAAGTTCAAAGGCCAGTCTCAGTTTGATTCCAGTTTTCAATATGTCTGAAACATTTCTCATTTATTTTTGGTTGATACTTAAAAAACAATAGAACATAACATGACCATAGGAATCATATTGTAACCTTATTCAGATGTTTGTATTTAAAGAAAAAAAAAATGAACTTTTAAAAATTTAATTGTTTCTCTGACGTCAATACAATCTCATTAGTTAAATATAAATAAATGCATTTTCGTGAATCAGTGCTATACTAGAAAAGTATTTGATCTAGTAAGAAAATATTTTTTCTCTTCAAATAACGTTAAGTTAAATCGCAACTACATATGATTTGTTTTTTTTTATTAGAATATAATCAATAAAAAGAAAAGATAAATAAATCATTTGTATTTTTCTTGTGTTTTTTTTTAACGATATTTAATTGAATTGAATCATAAAAGACAACAGAACTGCTTGTAGGTCTTATTCATAGCAACAAATGATTTGCAATTAATGATATTTCACATTCTATCCTATATCAGTAAAATATATGTTTACAAAAAAAAACATATAACATCGAATCCAATGAGCCAGTTGATTCAATATTTTCATAAGCATTTTTATTACTAATATTGATTGAAGAAATATAATGTTTGACTAACATTGTTGTATGAAACATTTTTCTCATCATTGATTTATTTTGGTTAATTTTTTGTGTAAAAGATGAAGATGAGCATTTTATGACATACGAGTAGAAATCAATCAGCATTTTTTCTTATAAATAGATACTTATGGAGAGATAGAAAGAGAAAAAAAAAAGAATATTAATAGCAAAGCTAAAAGACAAGTTGTGGAAATAAAGATGAACGTGCTATTGATCTCAAGTGTTGATGTACGTCTCTGTGTGTCGTTTGAAATTGTCGCTTTTGTTGAAAACACAAGAAAGAAGAAGAAAAAAAAACGAGAGAGAAGAAAAAAAGAAGACGAAGAATAGTGTAAACGTTACTACCTCTAACTAATGTGATCCTTCAACAAATAAACAGCAACGTAGGTCTTGCATGCATGTCTATATAGTATATATTTTAATTCATTTAAAAGAAATAGAAATAGATCAATGGCCGCTATTACAAGTCAACGGCGTTTAATTCGTGGTAAACTCCAAACACGAAGGTATTTAATTGAAAAATTAATATTTGTTTTATATATATATCTAAATTTATTAATTTTTTTTATTGAATTGTCGAAATTCTTGAAAGAAGACTATAGTTAATTCGTAGTTTAGAAAAGAAATTTATGCTTGTGATTATCACTATAAGATAATATTATTTATTTATTAAGAAAAATAAATTACCGAAAGGAAATAATTTGAAAAAAAAAATAAATTATAATATGAGCGGTTTTTTTCTTATCTTCTAATTGGAAAAAGGATAAATTACATATTCAGTAATGTAATTTTCTATTTTTGCTCAATTAAAGGAAATATCTTATTTCACGTTTGTTTGTAAATGAATAGGAAGCTAATTTTTACTAGACAACTAATGGTATTGCATGTATGAAAGGATAAAACTATCTAAGCGTCATCTAAAAATAGGATATTTTAATGAACACCTTGAAGTCTTTTCTTCCACAAGTTAATTCCAATGAATTTCCGTTTTGTTGTCATCTTCGAAAAAACAATAAAATAAAAAGAGAACAAATTATCATATATATTGTTTTCTCTTTTTCATCGTCCTGAAACCTTTGAGATAGTAGAAAATCTATTATGATTGTGCTAGACATTATTTATATTCATATTAAATAACCGTCGTATGACAAATTGCTATCATTCGTTAAATTTTAGTTAGCATTTTTTGATGTTATGCCGGAAATAATCATCATCTTGATGTTTCTCATTTTTCATTATGAATTGCATTTGTGTTCTATTCGTTTTCTTTGTTTATTTTTATTCTTTTTAGTATACTAATGATCCTAGAACAAAATAATAGAAGTTATCAGGATAACTATGTCGAAGGCTATTAACAATTTTAGTTTTGTTTAAGACGATAATGTTAAATAGAAAAATAACTATTTATAATGGGAATAAAAAAAGAAAAAAAAAATGAGAAAAATTACTTTCTCTCTGTCTGTCTTCTTAGTAGAGTATAAGTACCATCAAGATAAATTATAATAGTAGTAATTGAGAAAATGCACGGATAACCCAAGATAATTATCCAACTTGTTCGACTAGAAAAATCACACATGATCGACAGAGATCGACATTAGGTCAATGATAAGACAAATTGAGAAAAAACGAGTAAGCAAAAGAAAAAGAAATAGACATATATACATTTATATCATGTAAGCAGGAAATGTTGTCAGGAAAACTCGATTAGGTATTTAATTCTTCGTACAGTAAATCGTGCAGGCATTTGCTAGTTTTGATTTTCGGTTGAAATTCTATTATTATACTTCATACTATTCTCCGTGATCAATTCTTTCTTAAATGTATAATCATGATGATTTTCAATAGATGGCATCCGGATTTTAGACAAATCATTTATTAACCACGACGATCAACAGATGTGAAAAGATTTTGATCGAGTCGTCTTCCAATTGTTTTTCTCTTTTTTTTTTATTATCGTAATATTGTCATCGAACATACAAAAACGGCATCACAAGAGAACAAGAAAACGCGTGAGAGACCGTCCCTCGCCCATATAAATTAATAGAACATCCGTTCGCTCGACTAACTCTAGTACTAGGGCGTTCTTCCCTATTGTCTCTCTCAGTATGCTTGTTTTCGCATCTTTCCACGAAACGAACTCTGCTTTTGTTCTCTTATCCTTCTATCAAAATAGTCGCTAGAATCGATCCAGGCGCAGCGATTCTATTTTGCATTCATAAGACACATAGACAATCTACAACTGTGTGCATAGCATTGCACGTGTTTTATTATTATTATTATTCTAAAGCGATTGACGTTTGTAATCATCGATAAGAAGAAAAAAAAGAAAGATCATAGTCAAACATTGTTATCCGTATGTCGTTAGGTGAAAGTATCAATCAAGATTCAACATCATCACCTACTAATCGTCATTTTCTTATTGTTCCATCATTCAATCCTGAACGTCGACATTCATGGGCGAGTGTTATTTCACATATATCAGCACGAAATTCTGATATTACTTCATATATAAATATAACAAATCCTGAAAGTACACGGTGAGAACTTTCATTTTTTATTATAAAGTTCATGTTTAACAACGTAATGAGAAAAAGAGAATCGGAGAGAAATATAGCGAGAAACAAAAACAAAACGGTAAATGCCGAAACTATGAATATATTTTGTATGTATGTGTTCATTTGTGTCTTATTAGCACTTTCCTTCCGTCATTTGCTTTTAGCGTTTGTATTTGTATGTTCATATTTGTAACAGTTACAAAACACAATTTTATTTGCTTTTGTAATTTTCAATAAGTCTTCGTTTAAATATTAACCATGAATTTTTATCGACATTTTCTTGGTATACCTTTAAATGAACGACGTCATTCAATTGGACCTGCTCAGAGTGGCAAACGTGTTAAGTGAGCAAACTTATTTATTTATTGATTAAAAATTAAATTTTGTTGATTTTGTTTTCCTTCTTAAGTTAAGTAAAAAACAAATAGTAACTTAATAAACACTTTGTTTTTACATCGCATGACTATTATCTATTCATTAACATTGATTAAAAGAATCGGCTAGAGAATAGAAGTTGGATGTTTTTTTTTATTGCATGTAAATGACGGTATGAGCTTCTTTTTTTTTCTAATTACACAAAAGATAAAAAAATGTCAGCATGTTTTACATTCTAAGACTTAATAATTGATTTAAATAGAAAAAAATTTATTTAATTTTTTGTAAAATCAACATGTTATCCTATCAGAGTAAATTTTAAAAAAGAATAGAATTATTTGCATTATAAAAAAAACTTATGTTTGTAAAAATGAAGAAATATTAAAATGAAAAATTTAAAATATTAGTTATACTCTATGAGTTACAAATATTTTTTTATTAACAATCCTATTTGATAAGTATTTAAACATAAAAATACATATATTTAGATAAAATCATATTTATTTTTGATTCGAAATTAGGCTTTCTTTTTTCTTCTATATCATACTTTGCAATCTTAATTACGTCTTAATAATTTAAAGAATCTACTAAAAAACTTCTTTATAAATATATGTAGATATAAGAAATACAATGATGCTCATGTAATATTTATTACAAATATGAATAACAATATATAATTGTGTCGGGAAAATACCATTGCAGATAGATTTTTGAATAATAAAACGTCATCAAGTCGGATGTTTTTTTTTCTCTCTTTAGAAATACATATATTTCTTTTCTTTTTTTACCTGTTTTTCTTAATGTGTTATTGTGCACATTAGTAGTTGTCAATCAAATGCATTTGAATACAAAATTGTGATTTATTACATGAGAAAACAATAGAAACGTAAAGCGACAAGACTAACCGTGTCGCTAAATAATGTATTTAAATGAAAAAGTTTTTTTTGCATTGTTTATTACACTTGTGATAAGATGAAATGAATTTAAGATGACAGTAAGATTTTTATCACGAAATATTATATAGTCAATATATATTATTCTACATTTGTTTTGAGTTAATTAAATATAAATAAAATAGAAGTTCTTTTTCTTTTGTATCATGAAAAAAATAAACTATCAAATTATTATAATCTGTCCTATTTTCTTGTACAATAAAATGACTTGAGTAAAGTTATTCTCGTTTTGTTTTTACCTTAGTTTTATTTTCTTTTTTTCTTTTTGTTTTGTTATGTCAATTTATTTGAATACCTGTGTCTTATTGTTTACCGGAAAGTCAAAGCAATTTGTTTTATTCAAATATTGACTTTCTTCAAGTATATACTATGAAACTTAATCATATTATTCGTAAATATATTTGATCATTGATCAAAAAAAAATACAACTCAGTTGTTTTCATACACAAATAATAATATTATATTACCAAATGTTGATAGAAATATAAATCGTTTTCTACTTTTGTCTACATCATCATTTATGTTTCTACTTAAAAAAAATGCTCTAGGCCAATTATTTATTTACACGAAAACATGTCCTATTGTATAAATTGTCAAAAAATATGAAAATATTTGTTTTCTTTTTTCAATGTAAACATATTCATAGTTTTAACGGTTATTTATTAGCCTATTTAGATAATTAATTATTTGTAATACGTTAATCAAGTAATTGTCAGAAAATATCTGACACACAAAAGAAAAAAAAGAAAAACGACTTTTTTGTTTTAGAATGCCAGGTGACAGAGCTATTTTCTATTTCATCATTTACTATAGCTTTTGTTATTGATCATTGGAGAGCAGACGAGTAAAACTCATTTGCGACATACGCTCTGATTGACACTTTGACTTCCATATATATATATATATATGTGTGTATCATAAGATAGAGAAAAAAACACCCTTTTAAGTGGGGAATAGAGCAAGAAGATTTTTCCTTTACTTCCATGTCACTCTAACTTAGTATGCTAAGAGCAATGACGACATCTCTGATATGTTGTTATCTTTGCCTTATCATCATCAGTTCGATAGTTACGGTCGCTAGAACAGTATTGATAGGAACTGTTGTAATAATAAGCACGCAAGAATGTAAAAATCGTTGTTGATGTTCGTTCGTTTGTTCTCACCGTTATACACATGCATGCACACGTCTTCTTTATACTACCAACATCGATACTCCATTGAAACGTAATAGAGAAAAAAAAAGACAAGAAAAGGAAAAGAAAAGAAAAAACAAGAAAAAAACGCACGGTCGAATAAAAAGGAAAAGAAGACAGTAGTATGTACGTTTGCGTTGTCGTGTTCGCCGGTTCTGTTTTTTGTCGCACGATTTATTGTGACGTTGCATCGGGTGCCACGGCCACCAGGAGCATCGTCGTTGTTCTTCGTTTCTCGCATCATCATCAGCAGGCCACAGCAGCCGCTGTAGCGGCAACAGCAGTAATAGCGACTGAGAGTGAAAAAAAGAAAGAAACACCCCCGTTCGTATGTATGTATGTAGTTCGTCAACAATAAACAAAGTCGCTCTCGTGTGTATGCCAATTCTCGGTTCTTCATTGTTGTCGTTGTCATCATTTACATAGAAGTCAATCACGAGTGTCACCAATAATTCCCCACCGCCGGTCATTTCGATCACACGATCGTCATCGTCGTCGGAATTTTTAGTTTCTACTATTCGACCATTTCTTATTGAACAAAAGAAAAAAAAAGCTATATCATCAGCGCCACGATCTTTTACCTCTTTTTCCTCAATAAATATTCGTTCCTTTCCATTTCAATGTTGCGGCGAGAGAAGAAATTCTTCTCAAAGACAATCAGTCGAACAAACTTCAAAGACCAATTTTACACATCGACAAAGTTCGACACCAAGTCTTTCATCACATTGTCCTTCAAAAAATCTTATACGAACTCATCGAAAAACAAATACAAAACCAACAATAATATCATCACCAACAACAATACCAACATTAACAAAGTCAACAAAAAAACGTCGTCGACGCGGAGGAATGGCTTCAGCTTGTACTTCATGTGTTTCATCAAATCAAAGTCGTCGACAGAGTTCGACAACTATTGATGATATCACAACAACTCCCGCTATATCTTCATCTACAAATCCACCTTTACTAGCTCGTCTTGGACAGATTATATTGAGACGAAGAACTAATGGTGGTGCTAATAATAGTAGTAGTAGTACCATAGTCAATAACAAAAGCAGGTAAATTATATCTATATTAAGAATTAAATCATACTATCTCTAGCTTGTAGAAAGTAATAATACATATCTAAGTTTTTTTCACTCGAAAACTATGTTCTACATACGATAAGAAAAAAAAAACAAGAAATTTTATAGATGAATTTGTCTCTCCTCTGTTTTATCAATAAAATTTTCTTCATGTTGATAATAATGAAAATAACATCGATATTTTCGTTTATAATTTTACGAAAAACACGATAAAAGATTTGAAAAAAAAAAATCTATTTTTATTTTTTCTTCTATGGCTATTCAAAGAAATTCAAGTGAAATTTTTGTATTTAAAAAGATAATAACAGTTATATAAATGCACATACACTCTATCACTGCATGTTTACAGATATTAGGAAAAAACATGTTTATTATGTCGTAGAAAAAAAAAGAAAAGAAAATCATTTACTTTGCCCAACAACAAGAATAATAAGTCTCCAGAGAAGAAGAAACAGTCCATATAACACATATACACAAGCATATTTAATAGTAATAATGATACTAATTTTCACACGTGATGGGTCTTTTTTTTTGACATAATTGTTTCGAATTCTGTTTATATAAGTCGAAAACACAAACAAAACAAGAAAGCAAGAACAAAAAAAGATCATATTTTTTATTAAATAAAAATGTGTAATTTATTTTTATTATTATTATTATTAATATATTTCCACTATTCACATAGTTCATATATATGAAATTGAAAAAAACATAAATTCTTTTGTATATTACTAAACATCAGTCAATAGATGAATAAATAACTATTTTAAATCAGATTTCTATCATTCTAAATACGAATAATTATTGTTCGTTCAATCGGTGAATGAACTTGTTAACTTGAAACTGTGAATGTATGTTTGTATGAAGATGTAGTGAGCTGAAGCGAGAAAATCCATTAGGATGATTGCCTTTGCCGATGTGAAGTTGAATGTCTCTTATTCTATTGCGTTCTGCATCCTTCCAAAATCGTTATAGTTAGAAAATAACTAGAGTTTCCTAGTTGTAAGCATGCAAGCCAACCGAACGGAAAGACCATTGCTATCTTCAGCCAATACACCATCACTATTGCATCTGCTCTTTCTCTCTTCTGCGTCGTTCTAACTGTCTGTTTCTGTCTCTCTTCCCTTCACAAACACTCTTTGTCGTTCGTTCCGATGACTAAAAAAGAATAGAGAAAGTAGGGAGTCTCGATTTATTGTTGTTGTTGTCGCTCGCTCGTTGTTGACGGTCGACGTCGATTTCCGGACTTATTCTCTTCACTACTCCGTTTTCACTACGGCATTATCATCATCATCATCATCATCATCGCTGCCGTCATCATTACTTTCATGACGACGCTTACCGTCTACTTTGCTTTATCACCAACGTCAGTTTCATCATCATCATCATCAGCGACATCAACAAAAATTCAACAATTTCAAATGATATCAAATCGTATAAAATCGACACCAATAGCAGTATCAAATGTAACATTACCTAGTCCATCATCATCATCATCATCATTTCCAACACCACCCGAAAGACAAATATTATCAAAAAGAAACAAAACATTCTTCGAAAGATTTGATCAAATACCATCGGCATCATTATCACAACAACAACAACAACAACTACAAAATGATTCGTCAAATCCATCAAGTGATCCACAACCACGTTTACGTCGACGCTTTACTTTTCGTCGTAGTCTACGACAATCTATGCATAACAAAAAAGGGAGAGATATTGATGATGGAATAAGGTCGGTTTTTTTATTTCTTAATACACGATTAGTTTTCTTCTTATACATTATCGACATGATCGATGAGTTCTCATCATAGAATCCATGAGCAAACTGTCAAATTTAACATATCTTTTTTTTTTCTATATGATTGTACGTATTGATGATGATTCAATACTATCCTATCGAATAACTAGTTTCTAAATGTATTTATATAAAGATTTTCTCAACAATGTGTTTGTTCTCTGCTAAATGTATATTTAGTTAGTTGACAACAAAGAAAAAGAAAATAACAGACAAAAAGCAGACTCGCATATGCTAGAAAATCCGTTAAATATTCTTCATTTTATTATTTAACACTTTTTTGTTATCATAAATATTTGATTTATTAATGAATAATAATAATAATAATTATAATTATAATAACAAAAATGTTTCATATGATTTAAAACCTTGTTTACAAAAATATATAAAAATCTATGAAACTAAAAATATGTAAGATATATAAAAGCAGAACAAAAAGAAAATATGTTTGCAAGATTTTTTTATGCATGAATGTATCTCATATTAAATCAATTATCAATAAAGCAAATGGTATATGTTAGAAAGCAAATGAGAAGATAGAGTTATAATAATCAAAAAATTTCCCTCAAGGAAAGGGTTTTCATTAGTGTGAATATTTCTCATAACCATAGGGACTGTTTTCGTATTAAAAAACTCAATTTATCCGGAAAATATATATTGTTGAAAGAAAATCGATACTTCTTCTTTTTATTTTTGTTTCAGTTCAATGGAACGAAGAAGAAAATATCAAACTACCTACTCCCTTTTATTGCTCTCTTGTTAACCCTCCTCCGCCCCTTCCCTCCCGCATTTCCGTAAGAAAAGTCAACGAACTCTATTTTTAGTATAAAAATTCTGGATAATTAAATCTGATAATCTATAGAATACTTTTCAAGAAAAAGAAAAAAAAAAATTCTTCTCATTCTAATGATTGAACGACATTGAATTCATTTGAGAGGAAGACACATATACTGAAGTGTAGATGGATAGTTTATTCTAACTAGCAATAATACTGCTAAAACAAAACAATACGGAAATTCAAGTTAAGCACTATTCTATACAATGATATTAGATAATTGACGCTTTTTTTTATATGCACTTTAATGACGATATAATTATGTCTCTACACGCGAAAGACAAACGAAGCGTGACTGTGTAGATGTATATATTTCTGTTTAATCACATTTTTTTCTCTAATTTGTATTCGTCGTTATCGTCGTTAGCACCTTCTCCTATCATCATCGACACGTTTTGTGGATCAAGTGGGAGCGACACGTGTACACATACGTATAGTTACATGCAGATATAGACATTTCATCTTATCTTCAGAGAGATGACTATGAAGCATCTTATCGCTACTTGAAAAAAAAATGCCCGAAGTGCAGTTGAGTGATGCCATGTGGTAGTGGTGTGAGTGAGAAAAGAAAATGTTTATATCTTTCTTAATATTATTATGTTAAGAAAATGACAATAGAATCAGTTTTACTTAAACCAAAAAAAAAAAAAAAACATTTTTTGTTTTTATTATTCTATTTTAGTTTCGATGTGGATGGTTCATCCTCACCACGTGGTATTCTCAATTCTCATCATAATATATCAACATCATCACATTATCATCAACATGGTATACCAAATGCAATTAATAAAACAACAACAACAGCAGCAGCAGCAGCAAACAGTAGTAGTGGAATGCATCGACGCGAATCATTTTTATATAAGTGTGACAGTGATAATGATCTTTCACCGAAATGTATCTCGCGTAATCCGTCCATCGGATCAGAACTGTAAGTAGTTCAAATATATTGAATCGATAAATAGAAGAAACAAGAACGAAAGAAAGAGTATCATTTTCTTTTCTTCGTCGCCCACATTTTTGTTTTCTTTTTCTTTCTTCATTTCTTTGCGATCGTTTCTTTCGTCGACCTCTCTCTCTTTCTTTCTATCTCTTTTGTTGCCAACTGTACCCTGGTAATGTTAGAGCACGCGTTTTTGTCTGACTGTCTGTCGGCTACCTACCACGCACCGAAAATATGCCGCGCAGTCGATGAATAAGAATGAGTATGAATGGTTGATCAATAGACACAAGAGAACATATAGTATGGAGCGTGTCAAAAGCGCTTTTAAAAAACCAATTTTAAGGCTTGGTTCTAAATTATCGACCAAGTAAGCATTATAATTATATAATATGTTTATATTTATACTTATATTTATATTTATATTTACATTTCAAACATCTTAGCCTTTATCTTTCTTCTTCTTCTTCTTCTTTTTTCTTTTCATATCACATTGTTAGGCTGTTTTATAATCTATCCTTCTTCGTTCTTTCTTCTTTTTTTTCTTTTATTCGCTATATACGTCCGGTGCCAGAGCTTTGCTCGTGCATTGTAGTCAGACTTAGTTTCATTTGCGTTTTTGACAGAACAACGTTAGACACAAATTTGTTTCTTATCTTATGCTCACTCTTTGTAGAACCTCCTTGTCGCCTTCTATCCCTCCTTCCCTTCTTTTTCTTTGTTACTCAACTCATCCACACCAATCAGTAACTACAAAGTAGTAGCAAACAAAAAATGAGAAAACAGAAATAGAACTATTAATAGCAATAGAAACATCAGACGTCATCTATTATGCGACCACGAAGTCAGACAGACTTTGACACTCGACAATGTTTAGTTCCATTAGCAACTTGTTTATTACCTTGCCAAAATGAATTTACTTTTGATCATCAACCAACTTATCATGTTTCGTGGATGAAAAGGTATTAGTTTCACTTTTTACTCGTTTTTACTTTTTTTTCTTTTTTGCGTTTGTTTATAATTATTTTCATTTGTCCTATTTTGGATAATTCAATCTATTTACTTTTACTTTTTTTCTATTATAGTGTGAAAAAAAGGAAAATTTTAATCCATCATTAGTTAATCTAATTAAATATTCCATGAGTTTTAATTATTCTCGATTTAATTACGTCGCAAAGAATTGTATAAATTAGAAAACTATTAATAAAAACTAGACAGAGAAAACAAATGAATAAACAATGTGAAATACAACTGTGTCTGGAAAGAAAAAGATGGACGTAACCCGTAATGAGAGTCAAAAGTTTAAGTTGAAGACTGTCATTAATACGCGTCAGAACAATAAAAGCTAAACAAATTACTAGAAAAAAACAGATGTCCAACGAAAAACTAGGTAGTAGTGATATT